TGTGAATTCCTCTCATTCACATCCAGCAAAGTCCCAGCAGTCTTTCAAGGGTGAATTTACAATCACAGACTTTATCAGGCTTGGAGAGTTGCCAGGCCGATATCTTCCAAACACAATGCTGTACAAGAAAATACTTGGCAAGGAGTCTCTAAGGGTCATGAACAGATCTTCACACTAATTAAGTGAACCAGTTACAAACCCCACTCCTCTTTCACTCCTCTTTATTCCCTATGGGAGGAGGGGCCATTTACCATCCACCTATGCCTTTACTTCCGAGTTGGCCCTTGTTCCTTAACTGTTCCCTTCTCCTGGCAGCTCTGTGCACACACACATTGGGAACAGGCTCCAGCTATCCTTCTGCCCCACTGATGTCTGTCTCTGAAGGCAGCTGATAACTGTTGGATGGCCCTGGCCCCATCTCTGCCTCCGACGCAGATTACTCATCAGAGCATTCTCCAGACTCCAGGACTGGTCCATGTTCCTCCCCAAACTCCTCACTGTTTGAGTCTGCCATCAGTTCCACTGGCGGACCACAACAGAATGTATATATTGAAGCAATCTTTTCACCTCAGCAATTGGAATTGTTTTCTTAAAAAAAAAAAAAATCAAGGGAATCTATAAAGGTGGTACTTCCCTCATTAATTTTCTAGAATTTACCTTGGTTTCTCTTATAGGGATTTTGTTTCTTATACAGAGAAGAATTTCCACCTACAATCTGAAAGAGGAGGGCTTTGCCACTGATTTATGCATCAGGGAACTAATTGCTTAAATAAAACAAAGCATCAATCACTTGGATTGCTGACCGAATATTTAAAGTTTGCTCCCTTCAATAACGTAGAAGTTGAACATTTGGCAGGGAGTGGGGAATGAAGGAAGGAAATGCTGTTTTCTAGTTTTTCATCTTTAAGTTGGTCATGCAGTTAAGAACTGAAAATCAGTAGTGTGACGAGACTTCTAGGTAATCCTCAACTTACAACCACAATTGAGCCCAAAATTTACGTTGCTATGTTGTTAAGTGAGTCCTGCTCCAATTTGCAACCTTTTTTGCCACAATTGTTAAGCGAATCCCTTCAGTTTGTTAAATTAGTAACACGGTTGTGAAATGAAATCAGGCTTCCCTATGAACTTTGTCAGATGTTCACAAAAGGTTAATCACATGATCCTGGAACACTGGAACAGTCATAAATTTCAGCCAAGAATCTGAATTTTGGTCACATGATCATGAGGAAGTTACAATGGTCATAAAAGTCAAAAACGGTCATGTCACTTTTTTTCAGTGTGGTTGTAACTTCAAATTGTCACTAAAGAAATGGTTGTAAGTTGAGGATTAGCTGTAAATGTGTCTCCAAACCACTGACTTTGATTGGAAACCGTAGTCCAGAGGAATACAAACACACACTTACAAACATGGGGAAATTACACAACCTAACATACAATCTAAGCCCTAACCTTGTAAATCTACAAATGCTTATTCAGGAATCTATATTCAACCAGCCTATCACTTTGTAAATGTATTTACACATCCAATCTCAATTTGTATTTCCACAGTTAATTATGGTTCCATTTATGCTTTCTGTTATTAGCTTTTCAAATAAACTGAACTTTGGAAGGAAAAAAAATCCCATTATCTCTTTTCCAGTTTATTCAGATTCCAACATTACAAGCAGTGGAATGTCATGGCATTTCAAAGGCCAAGCACAATCACTATGCTCTATCAAGCAGAGAATTTCTGGCCCACAGCCTTTGCAGTTTGCGGTTGGCTGATGAAAACATTTGAATGTAGAAGAGGAGAAACATTTCCTAATCAACATTCTGCTAAATTTTGATCCAAATGAATATATAGTATTAATATTGTCCAAAATGCTGGGGTACGATTTCCTGTACTCAATTATATCTGATTTTATTCACGAAGAGAGAATAATACAAGGATTGTGCCAGAATAAAACATTTACGTATCTATTCCAGGTCTCCTTTTCTACACCTGCAGAAATTAGGCTTCTTATACGTATGTTCTAATTGTAGGCTATAAATACAATGTAAGATATTTCAGTTATATTGAGGGGAAAAATATCCTAGAATGTTTCAATGTCACTTCCTCATTATGCGGCCTCAGTGTTTAGTGAAATGCTTACAAACATTTTTTTTCTCCCATTCAGTCATGTCTATTCTTCAGGACTGCCTCGACAAGAAGACCCTACAGGGTTTTTTTGGCAAGCTTTTTCAAAAGTGCTTTGCCATTGGCTTCTTCCTAGGGCTGACAGGAAGTGACTGGCCTAGAGTCACCAGTTGGCTTTATGCCTAAGGAGGCACTAGAACTGATGTCAGACCTGCAGCCATATTCCTTTTGGATCTTTGGCCTGGCACACTACTGTGCCTTTTCTATTGTGGGAAAATGGGAGGGAAGAATTGTACAGAGTTAAATGCTATGTGGCCAAAATAAAATTCCTTTCTAGAAAGCCAAGGTTGTCTCTGCACCTCTGCACCTGACCGTAACTGGATGGGTGGAACTGTCAGCATGGCAGTGGAAGATTGGACCATGTGATGGACTTGTGGGTGTGAGGGCAAGATTGGGAACTTTCAGCTGGGTGGAGAAACCGGAAAGCTTTCAGTTTCAGGTTTTCCCAGATGTGCCAACATGGCTCTCTTAATAAATTGGAACTTTGAGCAAATACTTTGCCTTGGACTCTGATTTAATTTTGGATGCTATTTGGAACACTGACAACTGGTGTGTTTCTGGTATGATGCCTTAACCACCACAACAAACTAGCTANTTGGACTCTGATTTAATTTTGGATGCTATTTGGAACACTGACAACTGGTGTGTTTCTGGTATGATGCCTTAACCACCACAACAAACTAGCTATCATGTTTAAAAAACATAACCATAATATACAAATCATGTATTTAACCACACATACACATGTGAACATGTTTTATTTCCACTCTCTGTAGTTACAGTTTGACAGAAATCAAGTATGGACATCAGTCAGTGTTTTTAAAAAAGTTATTTTAACTAAAAAAGTTATTATTATTTTAAAATAGTACCATATCTGAGGCAATCTTACCAGGACATAGAAATGATTTGTTAATCTCTGAGCAATTCCAGAGAGGTAAAACTTAAAAAAAAATCCTGATTCTATTATTGTAGAGATACCAAGCTGGGCTACAAAAAATCTAGATGGCTGGTAAGTGGAAGGAGAAAGAGACAGAAAACATTAACTTTCCTCGGTCATCTTTTGGTTATTAGTATTTTGCACCACAAAAATCTTACATTTAATTACTGAAATATATGAAAAAAATCTAAAAGGCACTTGTGCTTCCAAGCATTAATAATATAACAAAAAAAACCCACCTCACCAGAGATAATACAGTTATTTATTTTAAAAATTGCACTTATGTCAACTTTTTTAAAATATTAACAGAACAACTGAGTCTTCCTGCATGGTATTAAACTTCTTGCTTATAGTGTCTTCAATTTAGAAATACATAGAAATCTCAGAAAAAACAAAATGGCAATATTTTCTAAATTAAAATAGAATAAAATAGAAATAGTAATGGTCTAATTAAAACAAATCAGTGTTTTTAATATCAGTTGATGATCTGTTAATTCTTATTGGGTGTGCTGCAAATACAGCAAATATTTCCTTTAATCAATAATAGCGAAACAAGTTAGGAACGGTCCAGTTATTATTCAAATACGCTAAATAAGAGACGTTATCTTCAACAGCAAAGGATTACATATTTATTGAAAGTTCAGTGTGATACCAATTTCCCCCATTTATTTTCAAAGTCTGGCATTGAATTGAGCCATCAGTTTTTCCAACCTGATTGCTAAGGCAACATCTCCCCTGATTGTCAGCTTTCCAGACATGAAAGCCATCGTTGGCTTTAATTTGCCTGGGGGAAAGAAAGGATAAAATACATTAAGCCATCATAAACATTTGAGATATTTCCACGGTGGTGCAGTGGTTAGAGTGCAGTACTGCAGGCTACTTCTGCTGATAACCGGCTGCCAGCAGTTTGGCAGATCGAATCTCAACAGACTCAAGGTTGACTCAGCTTTCCATCCTTCTGAGCAGAGGAGGGTTGCTGCCAGTTTGGCCCAGAGCAGCTCAGAGCGAACTGGTACGGTGGCTCCTATTGGCTCGCCCGCTTGCCGGTGCTCTATACCTGTTTTTATGGCAAAAGACAAATTGTGCACGCATGCACAGCGTGTGGCGCCTCCGCGAGCCCCAACAATCAGCTGGTTGTTGCAGGATGGTGGATTTCACACACGCACACAGCGCAAGTCAGGGGCGCGCGTGAATGGAACGTGCAGATGCGCAATCAGCGAACCAGTAGTGAAGGTAAGTGCAACCCACCACTGCTACTGAGGTGGGTAAAATGAAGACCCAGGTTGTTGGGGACAATATGCTGACTCTGTAAACCGCTTAGAGAGGGCTGTAAAGCACTATGAAGTAGTACATAAGTCTAAGTGCTATTGCTAAATATCTCCCTCCCTGAATCCTTCTATTGAATTTAATAATAGCACCTAGGTAGTTTTTCAGTAAATACATCTCCTTACTTTAAACAGAAGTGGTATAATATGAGATTCTATAATTTTTTTTCTTTACTAATTTCATTTAACGAATGGCCAAAATTGATATCTCTATGATACTACCAAAATGACCTAAAAGGATATATGGTCTTTCAAGTACTCCAGAAGAATTCTAGATGTCACCAAAAAAAAAAAGGGCAAGAAATGCCAGCATGAAACTCTAAATATCATGACATTAAGGCTGCTGGTCAAAGTTAAACTTCTGGTTTAATTTTTAAAGTTTCTTCTTTCTTCCCTTTCTTATATTTATGGTAACATGTTGCCTAAAGATGACCTCCAAAATTCCTTGAAAGCTTGAAAAGTCAACCTTGCTGTGTCATTTTGGTTGCTTTTAATAAAGATATCACAGAAACACCGGGGGGCTGCTTTTCCAGTTTCCGGCAAACGTGAAGACCAGCTGGCCGGCATGCCGGAACCCGGAAGAGCAACAAGCGCCGGCTTGCATGTCCAGAGAGATGGCTCTGCGTTCCACTTCCGGCATGCGTGCCGTAGATTTGCCATCATGGCCTTAGATCCTGTCTGTGACCCAGAGGATGATGGGTACAAAAGTAGAACATCGGTAAAAAACGAACTTGGTGTCAGTTTTGAGTAACTAGAGCAGCATTATGTTTTGAAGCTGGTATTTTCCCTCCCATTAATTCTCAATTTGAACACCTGTACATCGTTAATTGCAAAATGTTAGTGTAGGTTTTGAATAGAAACTAAAAGTTGAGTTTAATACTACCCAGTACAACTTCAGGATTCCTCCCTCAAAATTCAGTATCATTCCCACTGTGTAGCTAGCTGTCTCTAAAAATAGTAACCATTTCAAAAAGCAATAATCCAAATGAAAGATTGAGGGGGGGGGGAATCTGATTAAACAAGGGCAAACATTTTCAAACTGCTTACCTGAAAACATTTTTACAAAGTCATTGCCAGACATGTTCATAATTACATCGACCTTTCCAGGTGCCTCACCAATTCCTGCACTGCCACCTTTGTTCTTAAGATCAATGTACCATGTTCCTCCTTCTTCACCTAAAACAAGAATAATAATCCATGTATAGGAGATAAATTAGTAGGATGTTTCTTTCATTTATAAGCTAAAACAGAGGTCTCCTTTGCCATCAATCTTTCTTTGGAGGTTGTGAAGTATGCCATATTTTTCCAGGTATCGCATCACATATCCAAAATATTCTAAAATTTGCTTTTTTATGGTTTTGATGATTTCCCTTGGCTTTTCCAGGCAGCTTCTCATCTCCTCCTTTCTGATTTTCTCAACCCAAGTTATACATAACAGCCGCCTATAAATCCACATTTCAAATGCTTCTAGTCTCTTCAAGTGGCTTTCTGTCAGAGGCCATCTAGTCTTAATGTCTTAAAATGTGTATAGAATCCTTACCGGATAATTCAAACTGATAAACTCCTTGAGTTGCCTTTACAATATCTTCATTTATCATTCCTTTTATAAGTTTAAATGTTTCTGCTACGGGCCCTGCTGGTTTATCTTCAGCAAAGTGTACATGCAGTTTGTCTCTATCAGGTCCTTCAGCCTTTGTTTTATCAGGACCTTCATTTTTCACAATATCTTGTTTTTTCCCTTCTTTGAAGGTTGGAGAAGCTCCTATAGGACCATCAGCAAGAAGTAAAATTAGCGTTTGGGTTTTAGTAAAGGATGATTTAAAATCTCTAGAGAGATCTATTCCTAATTCAGTCCGATTCTACCATTCTGTATTTAGGACCAATATTTCCTTCTCATTTTATTAAGAGTATTCTTAGAATTTCTGTTGAACAGAAAAAAAGATCAGCAATCATAAAAACTATCCCAGCAGAACAAACTAAATTGAAGAACAATAGTCTGGTGATACAACATAGCTACAAGTGGATATGTTTATTTACAATTAGAATAAACAGATATAAAATTATGTCAGTTTTACTTAATCAATCAACGGAATGAGCCACAAAAATGTTTTGTCCTAAATTCATTAATTTATTTATTTGATGTATGGTGATGTTACATTAGCCAGGAGATTACAAGGCTAATTCAGAGTAGTAGTTTGGCTGACTGCTAGCCTTGCTTTGTTCATGCCTGCACATCTTCCACGGTGTGCCATAGGATGGTGAGCTAGCACTGCACCAGAAAGAAATACGAATGGCTTTCCTGCAGTGTCATCCAAGGCCCTTTCCCTCCACCAAAGCCATCTCACAAACAGATGTCACAACTGGGAAGGTCCAGCGCCAGCAGGAATCTAACCGTCTGCATGAAGTGCTGGCTCATCTCCCCATCAAAATGGTACCTATTTATCTACTCACATAGAACTGCTAGGTGGGCAGAAGCTGAGGCAAGTGACAGGAGCTCACCATACCACCTACCGCTAGGCCTCGAACCACTGGAGCAAAGACTATCTTCAGTGTCATTAATAGTAATAGCACTTAAGACTTATATAGCACTTCATAGTAGTTTATAGACCTCTCTAAGCAGTTCACTGCCAACAATTTGGGTCCTCATTTTACCGACATCGGAAGGATGGAAGGCTGAGTCAACCTTGAGCCGGTGATTCAAACTACCGAAGTACTGGTAATCGTGAGTCAGCAGAATTAGCCTGCAGTATTGCATTTTAGCCACTGCACCATCATGCTTCTTGTCCTACATCATATTCTACAAACCAGACGAGCACAATATCCTAATATAAAAACCAAACAAACTACATTATGGTTTATTGTGATTCGTGAATCCAGCCATTGGCTTGTATCAAAATGAATTTGTCCAATAACCAAAGTCTTGATAGAACCGATCCATTTTTCCCAGACTTGCAGATTTTACATGTTTTGCATTATTCCAGCATTCTTTCCAGAATTGATCTGGAGAAGAATGGAAATGATGAGGGACAGCAGGAATCTCCCCCCCCACACACACACTTCTCCTTCTCCAGAACTAGCAAGTGATAGAGACAAAGTAGTTTCTTTACCATGTGCTTCCATTTTCATTGCTATCGTATCAGGATCCACATCTAAAAAAAAATCTGGTATCAAAGGATAACCTAAAATGCAAATGGAAATAATAAAGTGTTTTTTTTTTTAAAAAGATTTACCCTCCATATGATAATATCAAACTATTATTATGGCAAGTATTGGTGCTATTTAAAGTAAACATACAAATGCAATCATACATGCATACACATATTTAAATATTTGCAAAGATCCATTTCAGAAACCAGAATGGGCTATGATTTCCTATATGCATATAGGCTATGGAACTCAATAGTGCATCAGAATTTTTTGAACCAATTGTCTAGGATACAGAATTTCTTTTTTTTAAGTTTTTTATTTTTTTCTTTTAATGCAAACATGTCATCATTCATTAATCAGTGTGTCGCCTGACTATAATTTTTTGTGTCATAATAGTTAAAACTTACCACCATATTCTTAATATATATATTCTTACCTTAACATTACAACTTAACATATCTCCTGTTATAACATTTCTCTTCCTAATTTATTTAATGTTATAATACATTTTTTCCATATTCATTTTCTAACAAATGATAAAATAACCCCCATATATTATAATAATCAGATTCTTCCTTTAATTGCTAGTGTTAATCTATCCATTTCTGCACATTCTAATATTTTCTTAATCATGTTTTCATCTGCAGGGATTTCTTCCACTTTCCAATTTTTCCAAAATAATCAAATATACATTTACTTCACTATATTTTCCTAGAAGGATACCCAACAAAAACAATTCAGGTTTTGAATCAATATGTTGCTACATCACCTTCTCCAACTACATTCGAATTTTTGCCCAGTATTTTTTTGCTTCTACATATATCCACCATATTTCATTATACGACCCCGGCATCTGGTGGCATTTTCAACGTTTAATTGATTTGTCTTTAAACGTTTTTGGCATTCTTTTAGGTGACATATGCCATCTATAAAACATTTTGTACAAATTGTCTTTGTATGCAGTTGCTATTGTTAGTTTATAATTTCTATCCCACAGGACATGGAATTTCATGGGAAAGATGGAATAGTTTGAGGAAATTTTTCTAGGTGTCGGCAATACAACTGCATTTATAGCGGTATGCAGCATTCTGCAGTAACATGTCCATATTTTGCTGAAAACTGGCACTTTGTGGCTCAGCAAAACTGTGCCATAGCGCAAGGGTCCCCAAACCTCTGCATCGCGGCCCACTACCCAACCATGATCTGTTCGAAACCAGGTCGTGCGAGTAACATGCCAGCACATGAGCAGCTCATTTGCACAAGCGGCAGGCTGGTGCACAGGTATCTATGTGCAGTTCCACTTGCAGTTGAGTTGCGTGCACACTGACATGGGGACCTGCCCACCCTTCACACAGCCTGGTTCCCTTTTTCCTGCCTAGCTGGGCTGCCAAGCTGCAAAGGTTGGGGACCACTCCCATGGGATTGTTTAATGACTGTGGCATTCACTTAATGACCACCACAAAAAAGATTGTAAAATCAAGTCCATCACATGGCTTACAACCATCATAACTTATGATCCGTACAGGCAGGCACCATTATGGTCAAATGTCTTAAACAAGGTCTTTGCTCCATTTCGGCCTACAATGTGCCAGGGGAGGCCCACAGAAGCCCGGAGCATCGGAGGGGCGGATCTGCCCTTCAAAAGCTCCACTTCGACCTGCAATATGCAGGACAAACATTGCAGAGCCTCTGTGGTTGTTTGTAAGGGCTTGGTCATAAACTCTACGGGGTGCTTATCGTGTAATTTTGAATGTTCGCTAAGGGAACGCTCGTAACCCAGGGATTACCTGTAAAGGGAGATATGGTCTTGTTTGTGATTTTTATATACAGACACATCCATACATAAAATACTTTTCCCAAAGCATTTTCCTACTTTTCCCAAAGTAAAATGACTAGATGTCATAGGAACTGCTGAAATACAGGTACTCCTCGACGTACAACCACAATTGAGCCCAACATTTCCATTGCTGAGTGAGACGGTTAAGTGAGTTTTGCCTCATTTTACCACCTTTCTTGCCACAGCTGTTAAGTGAATCACTGCGATTGTTAAGTCAGTAACACAGTTGTAAAGTGAATCTGGTTTCCCCATTGACTTTGCTTGACAGAAGTTTGCAAAACGTCATCACATGACCCTGGGACGCTGCAACCGTCATAAATATGACCCAGTTGCCAAGCGTCTGAAGTTTGATCATGGGACCATGGGAGAACCATGCAGCGGTTGTAAGTGTGAAAACTGGTCATAAGTCACTTTTTAGTGCCGTTATAACTTTGAAGAGTTACTAAGAAAAATGGTGTAAGTCGAGGACCACCTGTAATTAAGTCATTTTTTGGGAAATTGAAAATATTGATATAATCAAGGTAACACAACTAGAAATATATTTGGCTGGGTACAGACTTAGTAATACATAAAATTAGAAGCAACTGAAATCAGTGTGATGTATGCTAGCAATTATGAGTCAATTAGGGGTCTGACGTATAATTTGTAGTAATTTTGGTGTAGTACACAATTCAATGTGTTAAAAATTACATCCACATTACCTGGAGCGACTGCATATACATCAAAGTTCTTAATTCCTTCTTCTCTCAATAAAACCTCATCAATAATGAAGTTTCCGGTGAAACTTTTTGGCTTTGATAAAATACAATAGGCGGCATCTGCTAAAATGTCTGTTTTCCTGCATTGTTTTTCCACACCAGCTCCTCCCAGCATATCCATTGCAGAGGTGTATATAGCTAAAACACAGAAGAATGAAGGGGTTGGTTGAATAATAATTCTTTGATAGTATAGCTGGCACCTGACTCAATAGTAGTAACTGTGAAAGGGATCTTGAAGTCCTAGTAGACAACCATTTAAATATGAGCCAGCAGGGTCTTGCAGCTGCCAAAAAAGCCAATACAGTCCTAGGCTATATTAACATAGGGTTAGAATCAAGATCATGTGAAGTGTTAATGCCACTTTATAATGCCTTGGTATTTGGACTACTCCATCAATTTTCGGACATCACAATGTAACAAGTGATGTTGAGATTCTAGAAAGAATGCAGAGAAGAGCAACAAAGATGATTGGGGACTGGAGGCTAAAACATATGAGGAACTATTTCTGGAATTGGGTATGTCTAGTTTAATGAAAAGAAGGAATAGGGGAGACGTGATAGCAGTTTTCCAATATCTAAGGGGCTGCCACAAAGAAGAGGGAGTCAAAGTATTCTCCAAAGCACCTGAAGGCAGGACAAGAAGTACTAATCAAGGAGAGAAGCAACTTAGAACTAAGGAGATATTTCCTAACAGAATCAGTGGAACGACTTGCCCCCAGAAGTTGGAATTGGAATTGGAATTTGCTTTATTTATATGTCGCCCTTTTCCCTGAGGGGACTCAGGGCGGCTCACAATTCAAGGGAAGGGGAAAACAAACAAACAAATTACAGAACAAAGACCATATACTATTAAAAACGCAACAATCATACCATTCGGAGTGGGGCTGAGAGTCTTTAGCCCCAGGCCTGCCGGAACAGCCAGGTTTTAAGGGCTGTGCAGAAGGCCTGGAGGGTGGTGAGGGTACGAATCTCTATGGGGAGTTCGTTCCACAGGATCGGAGCAGCCACAGAGAAGGTAGTCGCCAGTCGGCACTGGGCAGCTGATGGAATTCGGAGGAGGC